ATTTTATTGTGGCCAAATTTTCTAGGTTGGTAGTTTGCAGATGAGCCGGCATAAGGAATTTTGCTAATCTTTTTTTGCTGGGTTAATCATTTTGCTAGATTTATTATTGCTGGTTGTGGTGTGGAAGTTGGCCAGCGGTGGTGGCATACGATTTTTAAGGGCGGGGAAGAACATAATCATTTTTTTTTTGTTTATTTAATATGGTAAATAGAAAATTTACCATTTTACACATTTTTAATTTGGTCAAAATCAATTTCTTTAGTCAACTAACGGTCAAATCCATCCATTTGAACCTTTGCTGCATATTTTCGAAGAGTAGGAACCTTCGTTGGCACAAATTGAAGATTTGGGTTAAGTATGTAAAAATTGAGAAGGTTTGGGATCGGTGCTACAATTTTTTCCTATTCAAAATTTTAAATTATAAGTGATGCTTTCTATTTTTGATTTGAATCAATTTTCCGGTAAGTACATAGTAATCTTCCATAGAAGAGAATATTTTCTTCGTTCCATTAAGATTGCCTTACTTTCGCATGTTTGAGTCCCTTCTTTTTTTTTTTTTTTTTTTTTTTTTTTTTTTTTTTTTTTTNTTTTTTTTTTTTTTTTTTTTGAGAATACATTTTAGAATAGTAGATTAATGAAGAATGTGTAATTGAAAAATAAAGAAAAAATTTTGATTTACGTGTAATATTATTTAATTGAAAAATGTGTGGTTGAAAATAAGAGAAAAAAATATGTTTTGGAAATAATGGAATCAAACAAGGGCTAAATTATAAGTCACTTTCAATATTGATCCTTGTTGATAGTATAATTAACTTCTTAATTTTCTGACATACGTTATTCTATCAACAAATATAAACAACTCCTACTTGTATCATTATTCAATGTAGGGATACTTACAAAAAAAAAATGTAAGAAAAATTTATATTTTAACTTCTATTTCCAATTATATTAATTATATTTTTTTAATTTGTGTGAGAAAAAATCTATCTTTGTGGAACATATAAAGTAATAGGTTTAAAAATCAAGTTCAGGACCTTAGGTCATATGGCATTGATGGGAACGTCTTGAATGATGATATTAGGCACCTACTGGGATTGATTAAGAGCAAATTTTAATGGATATAGTTACCATTAGAATTTCAAAAGCAGCCACAGTTATTAACTTCATTTTCTAGAATTACAAATGTACCTCCGTGATTTTAAACTTGCCCAACAATGAAGGTCATAATTGACAATTGGCATAATATGGTATGCATTTGAGTGGTCAATTGTCGTTGACGTGTCAGGTAAGGCAGAAATGGGCCCCATTCCAACGGTAATAAAATCAAGAACCTTGTTACACTTACACACTTTGGTTCACACCTTGGTATACAACCATCTCACATGTCTGTGGGACATGTGAGAGGGTTGTGTACCAAGTGTATACAAGTAACATTTTTATAAAATCAATTCTTGGAGAAAATAATTGCTCCCAGACAGGGGCAATGGTAAGTAAGCGATGCCCATTGCCTTGCTTGACGTGAAACATAAATTGGAACATACGAAAAAAGTATTCCCTCTACTAATGGTCATAGATGAACAACGAGGCCTCAGCTTAACAAACCCTATTCTGTATTTAACTTTCATAGAGTTAAACATCTGTCTAACGAAAATTCATTCATCTCATAATCCACTCAATTCAGCACAAAAGAAAGAAATGCCAATACTTGTATCAAAAACACCAAAATAACCATAAATGTTGCTCCCAATGCTCTCTGGTTCCTCAAATGAACAAAACTAAGAGGACATAATGTAAATAATTACTCTTGCATCTCTAGTCTGATCAAATCTTCTTGAGATGAAATCAGTTGTCGATTATTCGTTCTAAGATTCAACTCCATTTCAACGGCTTAACAATATAGACTTCTTTGATGCAGAATGAGTTTCTTCATCTCTTTTCTAGTCCTTAAAAGGGCGAAATGAACCTAGCTGAATCATAGAATACGTCGACCCCAACTTTTAGAAATGTATCTCACGCCTTTCAGAGAAAAACTTACCCGTTATGAATTGATCTGGAAGAAGAGCTAGCCAAACTGCAGTATCAGCACCGTCTTCAGGACTAATATGCCCCGACCAACCAGTCATGGCCGTCTTCACCCAGCCTGGACAGTAGCAATTGATGTATATCTTCTGGCCTTCGGGACGTTCTGAAAGTATCCTTCCCATCAGCCTTGTGTAAGTGTTAACGGCTAGTTTTGATAAAGAGTAATCCGTAAAAACTTGAGGCCATCCACCTTCTCTCCAACTGCCATCTTTTACTTGTTCTAAAAATTTATTCACTGTCTGGTCTATCAGTTCCTCAGATAGTGCTTCATCGTCTTCCAGTTGTTTTCTCAATTCATCATTTCCAATTTTCTGCAAAAACAGATAAATTTATTTGTAGAGGTACGATTTCGGGGTACTAGAGATCTCGAAAATTACTCATTTAGTAGAGGATGCTTTAACAAGAATTCGTACATACTGAAAGTATGAATTTTTAAGTTCTCCAGCCGGTCAAAGATGTTGATTTTAAGAAGTGTGGCCTTTAAATTGTCGAAAACAACAAAAGATGAAAGAATACTGAAAGTTTTTGGGTTTCTTTTTAAGGGAAGCAGAAAAGAAAATTGTTTAAATATTTCGAGCACGCACCAGGAACGTAAATTACTTAGTATGGAAATAGAAAAATAAACTGATATGATTCTGTCTTCACATAAATCATTTGGGAGAAATTGTTTATCGAAAACATCTAGCAGACAGAATCAAGTAACGAGCTTCTACAAGTAAATATGTACAAAAAGGATTCAAGTTCAACACATTTTCTGCACATGCTACATCTACAATCAAATATAGATTAGTCTGCGAGTACTTAATTAAAACAAGAAGATCTATGATTTATCATGTTTACTATCTTAAGTAAGATAACCTGCAATCTTGCATGTAAACACGAACTCTACCAGAGGAAACCAGGGAAAAACTGGAACTATAGAACATAGGCCATGTATAGACTTGTAATCTTAGTCGGAACGCAGCTAACAAACAATCTTAAACTTATTCAGTGTCTGCAAATATCGAAAAAAACATAGCTCTTACTTACATTCCGTCTGCTGTTGAATCTACCCAATCGTGAACTCAAGTTTACAATACGAGCACCTGAAGGGGAAGGTCTCATTAAAGGAATCATGGCTTTGATCATATTCTTCGTGCCGTAGTAGTTGGTATGAATAGCTTGTTCAGCAAATTCCACACTATTGTCTGATCCAGTATTGAAATTAACTCCTGCATTGTTTACCTAGAAGTGTATAATCAGTGAGAAGTACTTAATCTGACAAACAAAATGACCTAACATGTGATAACTTTTCAGTTATATCAGCTTAAAATTAACATATCAGCAAAACAGGGTGGTCATTATACCAGTATATCGATACCACCATAATTTTCTTTTATCCATCCGGTAAAAGTTTCAATTGATGCTGGATTCACGATATCTAATTGATGGAACAACACATTTAAACCTCCTTCTTGTAAGACCTTTGCTGCTTCTTCACCAACACCAGTGTCTCTTGATGTGAGCACTACTGTCAACCCATGCAATGCAAGTTGGTGCACAATCTCAAATCCAATTCCCCTATTTGCACCAGTCACTACAGCAATAGTATCAATGGACCACCATCTGAAAAAAAAAAAAAAAAATTAAGTAAAAATCGCTATTTACAAAGTTCTACTCTTCACAGTAAACGTAAAGGTAGATCTAGTCTGTTGTATGTATAATACGCGTTATGATCACTGAGAAGAAGAACTGCAGCTATGATCCATTGAGTGGTTTAACTGAAAACCTATTTTTTGTTGGTATCAATAGAACAAGGGAATCAATACTTCTGCTGCCTAGAGAGGACTCAAAGGAAAGCTAAATTTCAGAAAAGTTATTCCAACGAAGTCCACCAAGAAAATCTGATATTAGAAGGATGAAAAATGTTTTACCTAATATAAGACTCATCAAAAACATATTACGAATATTTCACTTCAAAACTCACAACAGTTAACTATCATAACCTGAAGAAAAATGCAATTCTGCTTAGAGCATGGATTATATGCAGAACTTGACAGAGTGAAGATCAAACTAACAAGGTCTGAAAATAACAATTTTGTAACCGAAGTCAATAATATGGTGACCAAGTTCGAGTAATCACCATCTCTTTAGCTCACACTAGTAAGTCTGGCAACTAAAGACTCTAGATGGAGCGCTTCAATGACTTCAGAATTTGATGTTTTATTACCTAATGGAATCTGAGAGTTAATTCCTTCTAATTCTTCTCACAATGCGGTGGAGGTGCAGAGTGGCTTTACAAATAATAGGGGTTCTCAGTAGAAGAGAGACAATTAGTGAAGCAGGAGGATCCGAGTCAGACGAAGCGGAGTTGTCCGATAGCTCGTTGATGGCGTTGAGGTACCATGAGTTGGCGGATCAACGTAAAAATAGCAAGGAATAAAAGATTTTTCTTAATTGGGGCCCTTTTTTGACACATGTTGGTATTTTGGCCATAACTTTGGCTACGGTTATCAGAATCGCGCTCATGACCCCAATTCGAAAAGCTCTTTTCGGCGCGCACGTCATGGTCACCCAGCTTTGTTCCTTGAGCATCGATTTTGAGGCAAAATCCACTGTTTTCCCTTCCGAATCCCCAATTTTAGTTATTTTTTTCCTTTTTTGGTAATATTTCATTTGCCTTTTTAACATAGATTACGAACTCGATTTAATCCAGATTCTTGGGATATTATTTATTTTATTTCATACTTTCTTTTGGTATGAATATTGAAATTTTGCTATTTTTGGTAAAATTTTGATAATTCTGATTTTTTAGCTATATAACCCGGCTCGTGATTTATTTTCGTATGTTAGATGATTAGTAAAGAATTTTCTTGTTTTCTTGGCGTTTTTTCTTGCGTTCTTCCCCGTTAATTATCTGCTGAATCTAGCTTGTAGAATAATCATTATTCTGTCTGGCGTCAATTAGTAGCAAAGAGTTTCCACCAAAAACAGCTCTCAACTACACTGCAACTTTTAGCCCAGATTTCCACTAGTTGAACCCAGAACCATCAAAAGAGATTAAACAATTTGAAGAAGGAAAACTATCCCAGTATTAAGTTAAACAGAAGAAGATATACATTTAGGAAAAATAGCTCCACTTTCTCTCTTCACCTCCCGGCACCCCCATAAAGCAGCTACCAGAATTTCCAGGCACTAGTATATCCCAGCACCAGAAACATACAGCACAGGAACATGTTTTCGTAGCATATATTATTTCGTTGGATAAAAGCAACTACAAAGGCATCTACATTTGATTTTGCATGTAAGTACAAATGTCAATGTTTGTGTTACAGAAAATAACTTAGAAGCATCAGTATTAAATGTAACTATGTTATTGCAAGGAGGGCTATGCCATTTGTACACCCATTTCTGCCATGAGTTTTGCTATGGTTACTGGGGGGGTTGACAACCCCCTGACCAGCCCCTCGCAGCAGTGGGGGGCCGGTCAGGGGGGTTGTCAACCCACCCCCCGGTACAATTATCATTTCCCTTCTGCCACCCTATTGACACATGCGGTGTGTTGTCAAAAAATCATTGGCTGCAAAAACTGTTTTTCATTTAAACTATCCAACGAGAGAATGTGGCATTTGTCAACTAATGTGTAAAAGGAGATGTACACCAAGCATGATTGTTGCAAGGAAATATTTCTAACACTAAACACTTCCATCCAATCAAGTGGAGCATAAAATGCCATAAATAAATAACCTTAGAAGGCATAATCAAATATTAATCCCCCGATACTAAACCACATCACGAACCATGAATTTTGGAATATCAATATTGGTTAAATTACTTAAATTCAAACTGATTTTCACAAAGTGAGTGTAAACTAGGGGTATAAACTTAATTTTAGCATATTTCTAGACCAGCTCCAAAACCGAAACCAAACAGTGATTTGGAAAGTCTAAACAAGTCCAAAGTTGAAACATTACACCTTTTCCATAACGTTTTTGGGCAATATGTGGCTAAAAATGTCAAAATTTCAAGAACTGACGCTTCAATCATACAATATAATCATCCTTTTTCATGGGTTTCACAAAAAACTTCAAGATGAATAAAAAATCTAAATAAAAAAATAATAACGAATCAAATTGACAATTACCTTTGGTGATCGGAATAGGGAATGGTACGAAGGAGAGAGATTTCTTGGCGCCTCTTCTCTCTTCTCTCTTTAGCCTTCTCATGTTTATCCATAATAATGATATTATACGAAGATTTGTTGGATTTTTTTCAGGTGATTTGATGTTGTTTTTATGAATATATTTTTGAGTTTGTTTTGGTTGAGAGTGTGGAGGGGAGAGGATGGGAAGGAACAGAATGAGCGGTTTTTTCCCGCTAAAGTTGGAGCGGACTGACTTGGTCACTCTTTGAACAATCAATTGCCACAACTTTCTAAAATTGGTCGAGACAATGTTTGGCTAAGCATAAAAAAGTCTGCTTATCAAAACTTTGGCCCCTTCGACAAGTAAATAATTGAATGAAAACTCCGACAGGCGAAAATCTATTTTCGATCTCACCTTTGCGAAATGTTATCAGTAAGATGCGTTTCATCTCACTGGTCCTATCTCTCTCTTTATTCTCATTCGAGCAACTCTAATACGACTGAGTTTTACATATAGGTAGGTAAATAAATTTACTTTTAGTAATAAAACATGAAATAAGTAATTTATCTTGATAGCAAAACAAGTCTCACTTTTGAGAAATAAACTTTTTTTATTTTTAAAAGTAGATTATCAAAATGCATTATGAGTCAAAAAAAAATTATTTAAAAGTAACTTTATTATGTTATTACTTAGCCTAACTTGCTCTAGCAAAAAAAAATGTTGTTTATTTTATATCTCGCAAGTGTACGGATCGTAATAAATAATAAAGTAGACATAAGTCCACATTATTATTCCCACAAGAACTACTATCTAACCATTGATTCAACTTCAATTGGATTGAGGACTAATAGAAATAGTTTTTCCTAATTATTATAAATATACGAAAAGAAAGTCCGTATTTATACGATGGTTGAAATGTTAGGATAAGTTTACCATAATTATCCTCTTAATCTCAATCATCAATTATTACAACCAACGATTATGTATACTCGGTCAAATTCTTCCAACTTAATTTATTTATCTCTTTCGAGTTCAAACCAATCCTACACAATTAAATCAACCCACCATATCTCTACACGAATCTGAATAAACATTAATCAACAGTATTCAATTAACGATCGCGACAAACATAAATTGTATTTCTACTTCTTTATCAAAATTGTGGATTTTTATTACGTGGTCTAAACAAATAGCTTGCCTCTTGACGTAATTATGACTCTCAAATTAATGAATTAATGGCCAATTAATCCAAAGTTTTAAGAATAGAAGTAATAACAATTCACAATATTAATTGGAGATTTAAAACTTTTTAATTAAAATTAAAGTTCAAAACTAGGTTACAATAATTCATCTTAACTAATTATTTAATTACAAATCATAGAAGAATAAGAGAATAAAAAAGAATTAAATTATATCGATAAGTTCTAAGAAAAAAATGAGAAAAAAGGTAAAAATTTTGCACTAAGAATACGTCGTCTTCTTGTCAAACCTCGAAACTTAGGTTTCTTGATTGAGTTAATTATTTTTCTCTCATTTTGGGCTCTCTTTTCTTATAATTGATATAATTTTTTTCTCCCAAAAGGTCCCTTTGGCTTATATAGTACGTGTATAATGGATCTCTCAAGCATTGATTTGAATATGTGTGTATAATGAAATCCTATGAACCTCTTTTAATTGTTGGACTAATAATACATGTATTTATAAAACAAGTTTAGGTCAAAATAATTGTACAAATTGGTTTCCACAGAGAATTTGAGGGGGGAAAAAGAAAAGAAAAGAAACAATTCCATTTGTAACGACCAGTCAAGAGGTGGCTCCCGTCATTGACGTAGCACTTTGTCCCGCATAGCACTTAGTTCCCGATTTTCGGCTGGCAACCGAGCTCTGATAACATTTGTAACGACCTGAGTCCCACTTGACGGGCTATCCCGGCCGTTAGATCGACGACGTACTGTCCCCATTGTACCACATGAGTCTTTTCAGCATACTTTGTCCTCACTCGCACACTCCCCGATAAAACTTCACAGGGGGTCACCCATCATAGAATTACTCCAAGCCAAGCACGCTTAACTGTAGAGTTTCTAACGATTGACTTCCGAAAAAGAAGGTGCACCTTGTTGGTATGAGTAGTACCTATCAAATCTTTTAAAACTTTTCTGGTCTGGGTATTACAATTATATTTCCTAATATGTGTGTATTGATGTCCTCATGCCAATTTGTTTGACTCTCAAAGTACCATTTGAAGTCATTTCGGAAACTCAAACCTTTTAAGAACGCAAGACTGAAGAATATAAACCAAGTCTCTCATGTGACAGTGCATTATCTCAATATTACCCCTAGTTATATATATTGTATGAATATCAGGTTGATTAAGAATCAGTGATTCTATATGCTGTCAATTTCTTAATTCATTCATGGCTCTTGGCTCAAGAAGATAATTCTAGGAGTTATATAAAGTTGGTGTGATGTTGTAGGGATGTTTTTGAGGGATACATATAAATGGAAAGAAGCTTTGTGTGGCATAGCCACAATACGTTCTTTATAAGCTTTGATTTAAAATCCACAGTAATATTTGACCATGGGGAAATTAATGAAAATAAATCACTAAATGCAACTTGACACCACAAACAACCTACCACTTTATCATGGTAAGGCACAACCAAACAATTAAGCGCGGGTAATTGGATAGAGGGAACAGAAACAATACTTGAATTACATACAGAATGATTCAGAAAGAACCAATTAAATTTCCTGAATATGAAATTACCTCAGCATCTGATCGTGCCAGTGCTATTAGTGGTGCCACGCCTCCTTCTTGTCCAATGGCAATGCTATTACAAAAGCAACAAATACATGGTATATAAAATTCAAGGCAATGAGAAAAATGAAAACTATGTAATGACAGCAATTCAGTGTTCATCAAATACCATGGCATTGTGATTGATCATGAAAATAATAAGTATTGACCAGCTCTTTGAAGAATCAAAACTCACTGTTTTAAAATCAGGCCTAAAAAATGAACGTCATCTGATGCTTTGTTCTTTCATAGACAAATGTTCTCTCTTTATATAGTGTCGTATAATAGACAAATGCTACCTCGTCATATATAGTCATATAACGCTGTTCATGTCAGAAGGATTATGCAATATGATGTGTTGTTCCTAAATTATTTCCACAGTATGTATAAATTACTACAGAAAATGATAAAATCACTTAAAGCCCCTATTTGGACTCCATTTTTCCAAAACTCATTTTCAACCACACATTCTCCCATAAAATAATGTTACACATAAACCCAAAATTTTTCCTTATTTTTTAACCACACGTTCTCCAAAATATCACTATTACAAAACACATTTTCCCCCAAAATCTCATTTTAATGGAGTCCAAACAGGGGCAAAGCATGTTAGGAACCACTACACAAAGAAACTCTGTTACACAGACTTGGCATACATCATTATTAGCAGCAGCTATGCGAAAATAAAAACAATTTTTTGCACACACCTATTTGCTTCTGACACGGACAATCCCCACAGAGCACCAGCAGCCCTCTCCTGAAGGCCGTGAGAGGCATTTGAACAGGAACGTGCAAGAGCAACCTAAACAACCACATAAGATTATCATGAGCCAAAACTATCACCTTTTAGGAATATTAAGAATATAATGATTCCTTAAGGATAACCTTCAGCAGCATAAGTCAACCCTGGAAAAGGTTTTCAAAAAAAATACAAAACAAAATTGCAAATTTTATGTATGCGAAATATTTGGATACAGATGACTTGATGAAGGGTAACATGTTTGCACTTATGGAAAGCAAGGAGTAAATATTGTCCCAAAAATTCATTGAGAAGTGAAGGTTAAGAAATAGTGATAAAATCAAGAATGCTCAGACAAAATCCATAATGCTACATGGGATAAGTTCCTTAATAACTCAAATATTAGAAACCTCATTTAGACTAGAAAGAGGTTTTCCACTGCATTAAGAATATATGAATTAAATGAAGGACTCTTCGTGAGTAACTCGGCAGAAGTTTCCCATCCAAAGCTTTTGGCAATATTGTGAACTAGAAATTAAAATGGGAAGGAAGAGTTGCCTATTGTTTTTTTTGATAAGAGAAGAGTTGCCTATTGTGCAGACAACAGGGGAAAAACAAGCGAGAATATTGTTGCGACGGCATCATCCATGAAATTAATTAGTGCTAGTCATACCAGGAAAAAGTGTAATTTTTCCTTGATATAACTGCAATAACAGGGTTTGATTTTACATAGATATGCTATAAATTCTCTATAGTATATGGGGTAAGAAGAAGAAACGTGATATTGAAATGTTCAATACTTTTCTACTAATTGTAAAGCCAAAAACAGGTTCTGGGAACACTACAGGTCCATTTACTCCTTTCATGTATGTATCTGTTAGGGGATCCGCACCTAGGAAGTATGGCCAACGGTGAACTCTGTTTTAGATTGGTCCCTTTAGTTAAAAAATAAAATAAAAAGCTCGAGCTGAAACAAGTAACACGTGATTTGCGTGGGAGCCAAATAAAAATTTGGTGAGTCCCATAACTTCTTTCATGAGCCGCCGTTTGGTTTAGACAAAAAATCAAATTTTTAGTAGATTTTTGATAAAAGATGATAGAATATGTGATTGAAAAGTTTGGATCCCATGAACTTTGTATTTAAAATTAATTATCGACTGACTTAGATTTTAATCCATTTTTGTAGCTGAACGAACCAACAAGCGCATAATATGCAATGACTAGATGTATAGCTCTATAACTGACAGTCACCGGTATTATAAACTACGATAATTTTTGTTTGAGTTTACCAAACAACAGGTGTCATGAAACTAGTGAAAAAATCCACCAAGAGCAGATTCATCCAATATAAAATTGGTTCAGAGCTCGACTAGTCCGAATTTTGAATTTCCAAACAGATATGGAGCTTATTTTGTGATACAGTCAACCACCATGAGTGCACACATATTAATGCATGGCACCAACTAGCAGTGATGTTATTATGATAAACTCAAATTGGTAGATTTAAGGATTCAATCACAAGCAAGCCATATGATCGTGGCAGCAGAAATATTCACCAAACACAATAGGCAAACTTAAAAACTCCAATATCCAGTGCATGCATCTACATGAAAGGTAACATATAAATGAGCAAATTTGCGCATTAAGCCCCCTGTGCAAGCGTGTAAAGATATGTAAAGCACACTTGAACAATGAATTGTGAATCCTTTAAACGGGCACACACAATGCAGAAGCAACAGGCTGACATAAGACAATGCATATGTAATTAAGTAATTCTATTTGTCGTTTCCATTTTTGTAAGAATTCAAATAAACCATCCTAGCAGAGAACTTCAAGNTTTTTTTTACTTAGTCTATGCTTGATCATCGTGTGTACGAGCATAGTCAATCTAATCATCTTGAAATTTTTAAGTTGTTTATTTTCCGACCTTTAATATTCAAATATTTTCTTACCCTGTCGTGGGATGTACACTCTCAAATTTTTTAATCACATATTCGGGGTATTCTAAAGTTGATTACATAACGCTCCTTTTCACGCTCATGTTTGATTGGGTTTCACTAACGAAAGTCACTATTCTTGATCATGTATTGAAATCATTTGATAATTCATATAAAATCCATAAATAATGAAATTAAAACTATTTTTTTTACTTAGTCTATGCTTGATCATCGTGTGTACGAGCATAGTCAATCTAATCATCTTGAAATTTTTAAGTTGTTTATTTTCCGACCTTTAATATTCAAATATTTTCTTACCCTGTCGTGGGATGTACACTCTCAAATTTTTTAATCACATATTCGGGGTATTCTAAAGTTGATTACATAACGCTCCTTTTCACGCTCATGTTTGATTGGGTTACACTAACGAAAGTCACTATCTCAATACGTGATGATTCTTCCTAAATTTGAATATCTTAATCTATAAACTTTAACTAGGATAATATCCCATACTAGAAGTCTAAATTTCAGTTTAAGTATCCAAGGCCTAGCCTGACAGAAACAATGCTTATAGTTATTTTGTCACTACCTCACCAAACTTTGGTATGCTTTTTTTATTTATTATTATTTTATTTTTCATTGTGTCCCTTCTTCTGTTTATGATATCTTTTCTTTAATATTCGGTGATTTTCAATCTATATTGCATACATTTATTCCCTGGTAGATCGTTTCATAAACAATGGTAATGAATATAGTTAAATTACTCAAGCCTACACACAATAATGTAGTTAACTTTTTTCTAGTGTCACGGTTGGTACAATGCCTTTTATTTTTTTTAATAAGCAATTGGGATCAAAATCTTAGTATATAGTTACTACCTAAGTTATACTTGTTGACCAAAAATATTCAACAATTACGAAATCAATCACTTATCAAATAGCTCACTATACATTGGAGCAACCACCCTCAAACTTCCCTTTCAATAGGTTAAGTTGTTGTGCTATATATATTATAATATTGGTTCATAAGATTTAAGTTTATTCAACTTATTATATCAATTTAATCAATTCAAAATAAATGACAATCATGACTATTGTGTTCAATATAATAGATCTAACATGACTAAGTATTGAATTAGCAAAATTGCATCAAGTGGTCACAATATATGCATCATAAATAATTTCAAATATTCAACACGGTTATGCAACTTACACAAACAAATATAAAGTAATAAGGAAACATTTTTTATTTTTTTGAACAAACTTCTTAATTTTTTTTAAACATATCGCATAAAATGTAACTAAACCTAATCATGCTACATGTATATCATTTTTTACAATTTGCCACGTGGCAACACACCATTGGACAATTTACATTGTTAATAGTTTTTTCACCAAATCAGCATTTGCCAAAACTTGGAATGTCAACAATAATATCAACAAAAGAGTGTACAAGTGACATTTTCCACCAAAACCGTAAACTTAAAATATATATTGTCATCAATGTATGCACAGAACAAGTTTAGAGAGGATTAGCAATACTCGCTATGTATATGATGTATCTTTTTCAACACTTGATTTGTTATCTTCCTTTTCTATCATTTAATTATTCTTTCTACAAGAACGAGAAAAATAATTACTAATACACTAACATGAGAATTTATTTTAATTTAATTTGAAATGACGATTGTAACCTAGTTATGACCTTAAAAAGGAAAAAATGTTTTTATAAAAGAAATAGAAGGAAGAAAAGAAAATAATTTTTTTGGTCAACTGTGAGTTGACCACAATTTTAACACTCAAAGTTTACCCGAACAAACAACGGTCAATTTCTACTACAGGTAATCCATAATTAAATTTTTTTTTTTTTTGAATACGCATTCATATTTCCTATATGTAACGTATTACAACAAAATTTAAAAGATAAAAGTTAGAAAGATGGATTGTCTCCCATTAGTTCTTGATTTATAATATCAAGCTCGACTTTGTGCAATAATTTTCATAGCACTTTGAATAGGGCTTTCGAGGTCTTGCTTGGATTGTCTTTGCCATACTTTGTACATCCTCCAAAATCTTAATGTTCCCTTTTGAATATGGTACGACTTACCTATATGACGTGATTCAAGCTCAACTAAGAATAATTTAATCTCCTTGTAGACTTTAGTCACAAAATCACTGAAGTTGGAGATTTGCACGCTAATTTCATCTTCTTTGAATATCATCGATTCACTTTGCTCAGTCATGATTAATTCCTAGAATTCTACATATTCTTTTTCTTTAGTTATTGATTTCTCGAGTTGAATGACGAAGAGATTCTCCATAAGCATGTGTCGTTATCATCTTTTTCATATGGAACATCGAAGATAGTTTTTTTTCACTTCCTCTAGAGGGTCTAATAACAAGCAATTTTTAGTATAATGCGATGCCCCCACATGATTCACAAGTCAATATCCTCTCATCATAAACAATACATGCAATATTTAAACCTACTAGCAAGTCATAGTTTTTTTTTTACTTCCCCTAGAGCGGCTAATAACAAGCAATTTTTAGTATAATGCAATGCCCCCACATGATTCACAAGTCGATCTCCTCTCATCATAAACAATACATGCAATATTTAAACCTACTAACAAGTCATTCATAACAAGCTAGATAAGGTGGATTATATTAATCTATAGCGAAGAAATCTCCTACAAGTATATCGTTGTCATTGAGTACTGCATGTGAATTATACCCATTCATGGTGAAGACATCTACTACAAGCATATCATCTTTATCTAAGTCAGGATCAATCATTGCATATTTTTGTTGATCTTTTACTTCTTTTTATTCCTTATCAATGAAACAAAGAAATACAAGTAGATTAGTTGAAAAAGAAAAAGAATAGATCAAACAAGAGCAAGAAATAATTTAAACTAATATGAAATAAAAATAGTTCTTGGTAACTCCGCCACAAACTCCGTGTTAGGTTTTCGATATTTTGTATTTGGCAATTCTGTAAATAAAAGGATTGAATTGTACTATATTTAAAAAATCAAGGAATAATTTGCAAATAGTTACAAATAAGGTTATTAGATCTAGGGTTCAAGAATGGAAAATAGAGGAAAATGGCGCGGATTTTTGCTAGACTGTCACCAAGGTTTGGCTCGAGCTACAAAAGCAAAAACATTGTTGCTAGACTGTGACCCTTACTTCACTCGAGCGACAGTTTGTCGCTCGACT